CACAGCATTTAATAAATTAATGATAATAATTAATAACACAACATTCTAAGTGCATAAAATATAATAAATTAAAAATACAATTTTTACAAACCTCATTGGTTATGGTGATGGGAATTCTTTAAAACTGAATAATCATGATCTAACAAGTCATGGATTGATGAATCACTGGAATCACACATTATCTTTAATAAATTTAATAACAACATGTACTACAATTTAAGAATGAGGAATATTTTGTAAAACATTAAATGAAAAAAAATTTAGTTTAAATCACTTATAATTAATAAATTTTAATTAAATTACAAGTTAGCTTGGGGAGTTTGAAGCTTGAATTGAACAAATTACAAAATTGTTTATTTTATAAAATTGATTGATAAGTTGTTTAATATATTTATTTAATTTAGTATATTTTTTATTCCCAGACCTAAGCATTGTAAATAAAAATTTTAAAACTAATCAAGCAATAGAATTTAGGATCTTAGGAACAAGTGCTGTTAGTGTAGTAGTAGTATGTAGTAGTGTAATCACAATTTCAAAAATATTATTACAGAATGTTAATATATGATTATTTATCACATTTCTTAAAAAATTAATAATAATAATATATTATATATATATAATATAATATATAATATAATAATAATAATCAAGCAGGAAACTTAATAGTTATGACCATTCTATTCCAAAAACACAGACAACCAATGCATTTTTAATCAAGGGAAAAAATCAAAAAACTTTTTATCATATTGTAATTACAAAAATATTTTTACAGAATGTTAAATGGTTATTTATCACATTTCTTCAAAAATTGTCGTTGTTGCTAGCAGTTACGAACATTCTAATGAAAAAACTACCAATACAACTCAAACAACGCATTTTGAATTTCTTGACCGAGAGGTGCACGCGGAAAAAAATCCATAAAAAATTTCATTATAATCTAATTTCAAAAATATTTTTACAGAATGTTAATATATGGTTAATTATTACATTTCTTCAAAAAAAAATTGGTGTTGCTCATGAAACTTAGCAGTTATGAACATTCTTATAAAAAAACACAGCCAATACAATGCATTTTCGTGACCGACGATGCACGCGGAAAAAAATCCATACAAAATTTCATATTACTCTAATTTCAAAAATATTTTGACAGAATGTTAATAAATGGTTAATTATCACATTTCTTCAAAAAAAATCGGTGTTGTCCATGTTTAACTAATTTAAAAAAAAAATTAAAATACACCAACCCCGTAGCGAATAGTCTGCAACAAATATTTTTATAATAATACACATTTCTTTTATCGCTCATAACAACCAAAAATTATATAGATGGGCGCATTTTCGAAAAATAAACAAAAATAACGACGACGAAAACGCGAGTTTGCGATAACAATGTAAATTCACTTTCAGAAAAATTCGTTAAAGTTCAGCGCGCGCGCTTCCGCATTTTTCAACGTTATGCGGCCTGCTAGTGTAATGGTTGGTAGTTTCTAGTAGTCTAATCTGTTAATGTTTGTTAGTGTTATCTGTTATTTATTTCAATTAGTAATTAGAATCAGTAGAGTTTAGTTTTAGTTTAATTATTAGAGTTTAGTAATTTAATTACTAATTAGTCGTCGTTTAGTGTTGCTACAGTTAATGAGTTAAGTGTTGTTGGTGGTTCACAAAAAATTTTTTTTATTTGAAATGCAAAAAGATATTTTACCGTCATACAGCAATATCTATCTTAAAACAGCATCTAGTATCACCTTTTAAAACATTTTGAAATTTTAAATAAAAGCAATATTCCGAAATTAGTAAATATACGATCGTAACTTTTGACTTGGGCGATAAAAAAATCATCCTTCAATTTCCTTCCGGAAGTAAGCTCCTTGTTCGACCGTCAAAAATGAGCAAAGGCCGTTATATTTATTCTAATTATATGACTTAGACTTATTGCAAAAACATAAATAAATGTACGTTCATCTCATTTCGCAAAAACCACAAATCAAATAAAAATCCGTTCTAAATTTCATAAGTTAACCTTTTCATAAAACCCGTCACTCTAACATCTTTATTATTTTATATTTCTTTTATTTTTTTATCTATGAAATCATTATTTTCAACATATTTCAACATACTTTAACATACTTCAATCATATTTCATTTCCAATTGAGTTTTCACATTTGATTTATTCAATTGAAACAATAATGTATTAACAATTATTTCAATTCTTCATTGTTTTGGAATTTGTTTTTTCATTCAAAACATTAAACAATTGGCCTTTAATTTTTTATTTCTTTCATAATTAGTTTTTAAAATTATGCTGACGACAAAAAATTTTTAATATTGTAAATATATTAAACCCCATTATTAAAAAATGTTCATTATACCTTTTTATATATTCATCATTTTTTTATCTAATTCATTTTTTCATACAAAATATAAATTTTTTTGAGATAAACCTTAGATAATGCTATATCAATTTGAAGTTTCAATGGAAAAAAGATATCATTTCATTTCATTTCATTTGCAATTTTTAATAAAATATTTTTAAACATTTGTCATTTGTCTCTTTTGCCAAATCTGCTTTTGCTTTTTCTGGTCCTTTTCTCTGGAACTCTACCTACTTCTCTGACTACTTCTCCATCACTTGCGAAGTTCAGAGCCGATCTCAAGACCCATCTGTTTTCAAAATTCCTTGAGGAGCGCTGTTGAACATCGCGGAAATAGCGCTTTATAAGCTAATTGATTGATTGATTGATTGATTGATTTGTTGTCAAATTATTTGCCATTGACTTACGTAAATGATTTGCACTTAAATATAAAACTATCCTTATTTTAATCGCTAAAAGTAAATTATTGAAAATACATTTAAAAAAATTTATTTAAATATTACTTATTTTATCACTGATTAAATGTAGAATTAACACAGTTTGCTAAAAACAGTCCATTTCATATTCATGGCATACAATATATAGGCAGATAAGTAATTAATTTACTCTGGCTTTTATGGTAAAACGTGAAATAGGTACTCCATGGTATCCTCCATG